CACACACACACACACACACCACAGACATGAATCAACACAGCTTCCTGCATTTTAGATTCTCCTTGGGGGTGTGGTTTGGAAAACCATTGTGATGAGCATTTCTCTCTACTACTAATTTTAAATCAGCATGTAGTTATCAATCATATTAGCAGTACAGTAATGCTTTTTTGAAAGGAACATATATGAATAAAATGTACCAGCAAACCGTTCCCGCTAAAGCTCACTGTAGGATGATGTGTTCGCATATTTCATTAGATATGCACCTTTAATGCTATTTCTTTCCCACCCTTATTAAAATCATTATATACAGTGCCTAAACAAAACTGATGAGATGATAAAGCAGGAAAGCACAAGATAGAATCTACACAAATGTTCATGTTTTAAAACACTGCATTGCAACAGATATCCCTCCATCAGATAGTATTTTAAGTCTTTCACACATAGTGGACACTACCAGATAATAGTATTTACTGATAGTTTAAAAGTGTGCTGCTTAGTTCAGAAACTAAAGACACACTTTTAAAAGATGACAAAAATAAAAGAGCAGAAATATTACCCTAAGTACACTATATCACATCTCCCATTCTCTCCCCATTCTTACCTCCAGGTCAAAATTGCCACATCTAGGTTAATGCCAGTTTATGTAAATTGGTAAGATGTGAGAAACTGCACCACTTCCAAACATGCAGCAAATTATTAATAAACCTTTTTTATTAATAAAATAATCTTAATGCTACATTAGAGACAATCATCATGCCAAAATCCCAAACTTCAGCATAAGAGAATTTGGTGAACACTGACTCGGAGATTTGTTCAGCTTCCAGACTGTAATCTTCATCACTACTTCCAGACAGGTAACCCCTTTCCTCAGAATCACTTTCACTGTCTGAATAACCCATAATTAAATAGGTTTGCAGCCACCATTTTTCTTCCTGGGGGAAAAAAAATCCTTTTTCCTCCTGCTCAATGAGACTCTACCTTGCACTCTGGACTGGCTCTGGAATTATACAGACTTTCCAACGTCAAATCTCTAGGCTTGGAAAAGGTCACAGCTGCTGCTCTGAGAGTATCTCCTGTGTGTATCACTTGAAAATGTAAGCAGGATATATTGCCGAGCCACAAAGAAGTACAAAGTTCATCTACTTGAAGATGCCTTCTCTCATCCCCAGGATTTTTCTTTCCAGGCCTAACACACAGAGACCTTCTGTCGTCAACAGACTTGGCAGGAAACCCTTTATAGGAACATATCTGTAAATATGACACCTCTGTTAGTCCCCACACAAGACTGTGCCGAACCTGCGTGCCAAGATCTGCCCGGTCTAGCTCAGCAGTTTCCTATGATTTCTTAGGAAACAAATGCTCTCTTTTTTTATGATCAAGGTGAAGATGCCTGATATATCAAAATAAATGCTTAAATGAAAAAAACTGTAATCATTCAATCATTTCAAGAACTGTAAAAAAATGCACTGTAGTTCTATAAATGAAGCGACTGAGATATATGAATGCTGTTCACCCAGGATAATTTTGGAGAAGAATAAATGTGACTGTTCACCTCTCGGTAACAGTTAGACCTTAGATATAATCAGTTTGATATATCCAGTGAATGTATGTGCCTGACATTTATTATTTTTATGGAGGGTGATAAAAGTCGTCTTGTCTTTGATTAACACCTTATTGCAAAAGTTGTCTGACGGCTTAATATGTGAAGTTTACAGGATTTCTATAATATCTAAAAAATAAATGTATAAATCATTTAAGGATTTAACTCTTTAATGGGAGGGCAGTTTAGGTAGGAAATGCAGAATACTCTATAGTTTTACATTTGAATTTTACATGATTATTACTGGCATTCTTAGAAAATGTTATTACAGCTTTCCAGAAGTAGAAAAGGCTGGGTTAGCCATGCTTTTGGGTCCCCAGATATTGGACCACAATTCGGATTAATCCTGGCCAGTATGGCTACTGGTGAAATCTTCTGGGAGTTTTAGTCCAAGAACATCTGGGGGGCCAAGGTTGAGAACCATTGCTTTAGTCTCTTTAAAATAAATACAACAAGTTATTTGTGATTAACTTAGGACTCACTAGCTAAAATTCTGTTACATAGCATAGTAAATTGTACTTGAGTAGGCCACTGATCAATGTGGATTTAGTGAGTCAACTCCTCCAGATGTTCTATTGATTCAAATTGTTCTACTCTAATTGCAAATAACTGTAACAAAGTAAGGGTGCAGCTACACTGTTCAAGCTGTTCAAGGTTTTTGAAACCGATTTAAAATCATTTGGTATTTGTGTCAGTGTATGAGTCTTCTTGGATCATTTTTCATTCCGGTTGTAAATGATCTGGTATATTGGTCCAGGAGACTACACGGCTTTAAAAATGTTGCATTTACAAGTGTGGGTGCTCAGCTCCCTCAGCAGAAATTAGGGAGAGTGAGACTGGGATAGGGGACAGAGGAGTGAAGAACCCCCCTTCAAAAAAAAAAAAAAGACAACCTCCTCCCCCCCAAAAAAAGTTGCAGGAGTTGCAGGATTATCTAACCAGGTAGTTGTGGAGGGAGCAGCTGCAGCATTCTCATGCTGTCTTTCCTTTTTTTGTTCTTTCCCAGTTCACATTCACATAAAGAAGATAGCTCTTTGTGGGCTTGTTCCACCTTCCATGAGAGCTCGGCTGAATTTGAGCCCCAAGGAGGTTTTCCCCCTCCCTTTCCCCACTGTGTGGGCTGAGATCAAGTTTCCCTCTGGCAGTTCTGAAGTGACATAGTGATAGATTGTTACAGCAGTAAGATAGAAATGGATAGAAAATGAAATCGAAGAGTTCAGACTCCAGAGTATACCGTACTGAGTCCTGGCATCCTATCCCTGACAAATCTTGCAGACACATATTCTGACACAGGAATTCACACATGGTAAAACAATTTTAAAAAATCACAATCCGAATAAATTCAGAATAAACCCTCCTTGGGTGCTTATAAAAATGCTTTCCAGTTAAAAAAACACACCATGCTTTCAAGCCCAAACAATAAGTGCCTAGGTGTTCATCATAGATTGATATTTTTATATTGATTTCTAAACCTAATGCAAAAACATGTACTACAACATGTAGTTAAGTCCTAAATCATGATTAGAGTAGGCCCATTTGAATCAATTGAACATATCAAGATTTGACTCTTCAAAACCCCATTGATTCAATCAGTCTACTGTAGTGCTATAGTATTTTGGCCACTGATATCAAGTAAACTAAAGTGTGACTTGATACCTAGGTGTGGTGTAGTGGATAAAGTAATGGACTAGGACTTAGGAGGCCTGGGGTCAAATCCCTGCTCAGCCATGGAAACTCACTGAGTGTGGAAACAGAAAGACAATTCCTTAAATATCTTACTCAAAATCTTTCTTAGGGTCACTATATGTTGGTTCTGACTTGGTGGCACATAACAACGAAGTGTGACTTAGTCTAGATACAGCCAGCTGATGTTAGTGATCTTTGTTCCATTTGGAATTTGCCCCAAATACCTTAAGCATCTTAACAATATTCTTTCCCTACGCAATACAGTAGGGCAAGCATTAAAGACATTGCAAATTGAGTGATAATGATATGGTAACAACACTGATAATACTAGAGTAATTTCAACG